GCCTGGAGGGATGAGAAGCCCGGTGTGGGAGGTGTGACCCCACTCAGTCGCCACGGCTGTCGCTGCTCCGGACAGCCAACAGGACCTTGATGGGGATGTGAGGGACAGCTGTGACAGGCCTGGCCCATGAGGTCCCTGTAGGCCAGGCAGTCAGGTGCCATCCTGCCAGGGAAGTGACTGTGCTGGGCTTTGGGCTCTGGACCAGAGGAACAGAGACACGCAAGGTGCACAGCTGAACACACACAGACCCAGGCTGCAGCGTTGTGGGTCGGCTCCTGGAGCCCCCGGGGGACAGTCAGGACCAGGACACGCGGTGGGGCGATGGCACAGAGTGGACTCGAGGCTGGGAACGGGGCCTGTGTCTGACTCACCTTCCCTGGGGGGGGGGCATCAGCAAGGTCTCCAGGTGTCCCCACCCCAGGCCTCCCTTGGTCACCCAGGAAGACGCTGTGTCTTGCGTCACTGCACCATGCAGGGCTCTGCTAGGAAGAGGGGAGGAAACTGTCCAGACTTTGACTATGTGGGACAATGGGACAGTGGGTGAGCGTCACCCCAGGCTCTAAAGCCTCATTATGTCTGTATGTTGCTTAAAGGTGTTGTTCGGCCGCAGCTGACAGGGCACTGTACCCAGGCAGAAGGGCCCTTTCCTCTCCGCACACACGGACAAGTCCTCAGCAAGTCAGGATTTCTCCCTAGAGCCCTGCACCCCAGGACGCGGAGAAGATGGCTCACACACCTGCATCGGAGACACACGCACTGTCTCTTGGGTGGGCATCACGGCCCAAAGGCTGGCCTACCCCTTGAGCCCAATGTGACCCAGGTGCCTGGTCAGCTGGGCTCCAGGTGGCCCTGGCTGCAGAGGGCCGCGGTCCCTTAGGCCTCCAAAGAGGGACAGTCCCTGTGAAAGCTGCCTTGTGTCCGGGGGCTGGTGGGGCTGAGGGTCCCAGTCCCCTGCCACTCTCTGTTGCTTTGGGGCATTAGGTTTTCAGTGTCATTAAAACCCATGAAAGTGACACACAGAACTGAGGCCGAGCTCCTGGCCTCCCCGTCCTGTGTAAATGCGGACACATGCCCAGCAGTCTGGACACTCCGTGCTTCCCATTTCCTAACTGTGACAACAGCTCTGAGACTAGACATGAGGAGGAGCAGAGCCCAGGCCCACTCTCCACCTTAGCAAATCCAGTTTCATACACTTGCTTCAAATTACTTTTAAGTGGGTGTTAGACCTAAGACATCACCAGGGCTGGACTGGTGCTGCAGGGCTAGAAATTTCTGTAAAATTAGTAGGACTCTTTAGAAAATGATGATTAGGAATCTAAATTTGGTATGAAAAATATTTTATATAGAGAAAAAAATCATGAAATCATGATAAAGTTGGCAAAAATCAGACTATTATAATAAACATCACCAAGTAGGAGGAAAAAAAGAATTTGATTAATTACTGCCTGGCACACCCGTGCAAAAATTCTTCTTGTACCTTTTGGTGGCTGCCCCCAATCAGTGCTTCCTAGGAAATTGATTTTACGTGATTTCCTGTAAGTACAGCGGAGATGATGCAGGCTTTCCCCTCCACGGGGCTGGAAATCCAGCTTCATCCCAATGTCTGGGATACATCAAACAGGCGGCTCCCCACCTAGGGGGCTCTGCAGGGACTTGTGTAGATTCCACCCCGTGATCAGTGCTACTTGTGTCGTCGCCCTTGTCAGGCTTCGCTCGAGTTGTAACCCTTCCCCCGAGCCTCATTCGCTCACACTTGGGGCTTTTCAGAGCTGGCTGGATCGAGAATGTGAGATATTGGAATTAAGGGTGTGTGCTGCTGAATTAGTCCACTGACTGGACTTAGCGTAGTTCTGGGTGTGCTGGGATGGACTTACTGAAGTCAGAGGCCCCACCCCTGTAAGGAGACGTCCAGCCTGGGTGGGATAAGAGGGAAAGGGAGGCTTGCTTCCCTGCTTTGCTGCCCCCACCCCCCGCCCTGCCAGGGAGTGCCTCTCCTCTGCCCGGGCCCTCTCTGCCAAGTTGCCTTGCTCTGGAACTAGACAACTACGGACTGCAAGCTTTACAAACTATGAGGTGAAATCAACCTTTCTTCCTTTAGCTTGTGGCTGTCCAGTATTTTGTCCCCGCAATGTAGAAGCAACTGAAGATGCCACCCAAAAGCCTGAATGGCCACAGCCCTCTCTGCTGGCCTTGCGACCTCACCAGTGTGTCTGCATCTGGGAGCCCCACACAGCCTGCCCTCGAAGTCCCGAGCAGGGCGACCGCTGTTGCTGCAGCTGCTTCTGTGTTGGCTCGCTTCTCCCCCGTGCTGCTTTCGCCTGAAGCGAGGCTTGGCCCAGCAGGTGTCTGTGTCTGTTTTTAAGATTTTTTGACTCTGGAGATGGCTCAGCAGCATAAGCACTTGCCTGGAAAGTGCAAGGTCCTGAGTTTGAACCCCAAGACAAAAAAATAAATAGATAAATAATTAATAAAAAAAGATTTCTTGGTGCTGGGGAGATAGAGCTCTGTAGCCTAAGTGCCTGCTTGGCAAACAGAGGACCTGAGCTCGATGCCTGGTACCACATACAGTGCCGGCCCCAAAACCGGCCGTAGAGGGGCATGCCTGTGATGCCAGCGCTGGGGCGGCTGAGACAGCAAGCACTCTGAGGCTGAACTGCACAGCGAGACCCTGCATCACGTAATCGAAAGCATCTACGTTTCTCTGTCCACCTGCCCTCTCCACTTGCGCTCCCGCTCTCTCCAGGTCACTGTGCTAGTGAGCTTCCCAGGGCCACCACAGGGCCCCTGAAGTCCACACTCCGTGAAGACAAGTGCTGGGCTTTCCCCGGCTTTGCCAACCTCTGAGATGTCTTTATTTTTTCTCAACATTTTACAAGATGCTGAGGATACAGCTCAGCAGATTAAGTGCCTGCTTGGCAAGGGCAAAGTCCTGAGTTCGATCCCTAGTACCAAAAAAAAGAAAAAAACTTCACAAGAGTTAAGCTGGGCATGGTGTTCCAGGGTGGATGCGATTCTCCCTCTGTCTGTTAGAGACCCTAATCCACAGTCTGCTGGAATTGGTGCCCTTAGAAATCTGCCACCGTCCGCACCTCTCCTCTGCAGGGCTTCGTCCCTCCTTTGTGGCCATTTGACTTAGCGTTTTGGCTCTGTCCAGGGTGCTCTGCAGCTCTCTGTCACTATGCAGGGGTGGAACTGACTGCTATTCAGCAGCTCCAGGGAGCGTGACACTTTCTTGCTCTGCTGCAGAGCTGGCCCGGTGTCCACCCAGGAAGGGACCTGCAGTTCTCCTTGCCAAGTTCTCTGGGACCCCACGCCGAGCTGTATAAAGGGCGGCGAGTGAGGACCCAGCAGAGCTTCTCCCCGCATTGAGCGAGCTGTTGGACGCGGAAGGCACAGACCCAAGATGAAGACCTGGATCCTGACCTTCGGCCTCGGCCTCATCGCCACCCTGCAGGCCCAGGAGAACCAGGATGTGAGGCCCCACGGGCAGGGCCTGCGGGGGCAGGCGGGGGAAGGGACTGCCCGAGGGAGGCCCCATCCCTCCCTCCCACCCATGCAGACCCTCATGTTAGGGTCAGGCTTGAACTCTGCCCGAGGGAAACTTCAGACACAGCTGGAGGTGGCTGGTCTAGCAGGCCTGGGGTGCAGAGGGCAGTTGGGAGGTGAACCCACACCTCACATCCCTCAGAGTGAGGGCCGGGGAGCAGGCACCCCAGGGTCTGGCGAGGTCGGGGGCTGCGGGCTTGGCGAGCAGCGGCCCTGGCAGGGTTGCTGAGGCTGACAAAGTGACCTTCTCCAGGCCTCGAGCATCTGGTATCTGAAGGCTGTGGTGGCTGACAAGGGGCTTCCCAAGACAGAGGAGTCTGTGTCTGTGACCCCCGTGGCCATCAGGACCCTGGAGGGGGGCAACCTGGAGGTCGAGTTCTCTGTGCTGTGAGTGTGTGGAGTCCCAGGGCCGCTGGTCTCTGGCTTTGCCTTCCCTGCACAGGACAGCGGAGTTGGGGAGGAGACGGGCTGAGGGCCTTCTCAGCCCCTGTGGCCTTGGGGGTCACTGTCCCGCTGGGGGGAGCCCCCGGGGAGAGGAGGGAACCCCAAGCCAACCTCATGGGCCTCCTGGCCCCTGCGTGGAACTGCTGTCTGCCACACGGGTTCTCCAGACAGACGGGTGGGGCTGGGGCGTCCTGCAGACCCCAGACAAACCCTCCTAGGAAAGCCCTGCTGTGCTGACCGGCAGGAAGGGCCTCGCATGGCCAGGCAGTGCAGGGCTGCTGTGACATCCCCGTGGGCCTCCCACCCATGTGAATTCCACCTGCGTGCTCCCACGTGGCTCCCACCTGGCTGACACGTCTGTCTGTGCTCCCATCCTGAGAACCGGGCCTTAGGCAGCCAGTGACCTTGGCGGTGACCCTAGAGTTTGCTTTTCCTTTTGGCCCCCAGCCCCCAAGCTGAAGCTGCCCCTCGGTGGTGCAGGTGGCAGTGGACGTGGGCCAGTCCCTGAGGGTCTCCAGAGACAGAGGCCAGCTGATAGGACCCAGGCAGGGAGAGCTTAGGGCACTGAGCAACAGCAGAGATGACATCTATACACACAGAGCTCAGGTTCCCTCTGCAGGGAGCAGGATGTGTGGACGCTGTGGGGCCCTGGGGCTGCCCTGGGGGACATGGAGGACCCAGGGCAGCCTGGACTGGAGAGGCAGCAGGGCCGCTCCTCCTGGGGCTTGGCCTGGACCAGGCTACCTGCAAGGCACAAGGGTGGCTGCCGGGAGCAGGGGTGGTGCCTGGCGCCCCTGTGGCCCACCCAACTTCTGTTTTTCAGGGTCAGAGGTCAGTGTCATAACGTAAGCACCATCCTGGAGAAGACCGACCAGCCAGACAAGTTCACGGCCTGTGAGTCCCGGGGCTGTGGCCCTCACACACGGGGCAGTGGGGCAGCTGGCGCCTCCCGGTGGCCGTGGGCCTGAGATCCCTTCCCTCCTCTGACCCTATCATACGCCCTCCCTGTCCTCTCACCAGCCAGTTGGCCTTAAAGTCCAAACAGCTGACCACAAATCCCATACTGACCCGGCCACTTCTCCCCACTGGCTGTGGCTGAGCCCCTGGCAGAGGTCAGGAGCACGGCCGGCCTTCGTGGGAAGGGACTGCACTACCCAGCCCTCACCTCGGCAGGCCTCCGTTTGGTACTTGCTGGTTGGGGCCGTGACCGTCTCCTGGGGTGGCGTTGTGGGCTCCATGGCCTGGGGGTCAGGGACCCTCGGGCAGCCGGGTGGGTGCGCAGTCCGGGGGTTTGCTGAGCTGCACTCCAGGCCTTCTCGGATGCTTCCTGAAGGATCGGGCGGTCTGCTCAGGGCCTGTCGCTGTCCTGTGCAGATGGGGGCAAGCACGTGGTGTACATCATCCCCTCCTCCGTGGAGGACCACTACATCCTCTACAGCGAGGCCAAGTGGTCCAGGCACCAGACCCGAATGGCCGAACTCATGGGTGAGTCACGCCTCCCGGCACCTGGCACCTGGCAGCCTCCAGCTGCAGCCTCCCTCCTCCCTCCCCCGCTCCCCAGCCCCTAGGAGAAGCCACTGGCACCCAGGACCTGCGCGGTGTGCTAGCGTGGGGTCTATAAGGGTCTGGGATCACCTTGTCTAGGTCTCTGCTCCGGGAAGGCAGGAAGGAGGAGCTGTTCTAGGTGCAAGGGCACAGGTGTCACCAAGGTCAGCGGACAAGCCAGGGACCAGTGGGGGGACCCGCAGGGGGAGGCTGCAGTGTCCTCCAGGACAGGGGGGGGGTCAGGTTTGGGGACAGGAGCTGTGCTGAAAGCTCACCCCCACGCAGACACCCCACACCATTCCTCCCTAAAGACAAGGCCTCGGCATCCCCTGAGCTCGCCCCTAGCCAGGTGTGTGGGTGCTGAGCGCGCTCTTGGGGCGACACCGGTCCTGCGCCCCCTGCTTCCCTGGGGGAGCGCACACTGCTGAGGAGGGCACGCCTGAGTCTCCCGCTCCCTCGCTCACAGCTGGGCCGCCGAGGGTGCCTGGCGGGACCCTCCCAGTGCCTGGTGCTCCTGTCCCCAGGCTCTCCTCCCACCCCAGGCCTCCAGCCCAGCCCCAGAGGGTCGTCCAGGTCCCTCCCCAGTCGAGGCTGCCTGGCCTCCAGCCCAGAGTGCAGGTGCCAGCTCCGCCCAGCTCTGCCCCTAACACTCCTGTCCCGCCCGCCTTGGCCTCACCCGCAGGCAGAGACCCCGAAGTCCAGCAGGAAGCCCTGGAAGATCTTGCGAAGGTGGCAGAAGCCAGAGGCCTCGACGCGGACAGCATCGTCATCCCCAGGCAGAGGGGTGAGAGGGTCACTCCCGTGGGCCCCTGCCCCCACCCTAGGGGTGTCACTGAGGATGCCCTGGGGGAGCAGGCTGCAGCTGGCTCTGGCCTGGTCCTCTCTGGGCTGGTGGGAGGTGCTGGCCCGTGAGGTCCCTGGTCCTGTGGGACTCCGGGGTCTCCTGCATCCTGGCTTTCTTTCCTCAGCAGGAGCCTGCTCTCCAGAAAGCTCCTAGGGTGAGTCTCACGCGACGCCCTGGGGTTGATGGGCCGTCCCTTGTGGCCCAGCTCACCCAGCCCTGCTCCTGCTGGGAGGAGACCCCTCCTGGCCCGGAAGAGGTGGGATCTGTGACTGGGTCATCCTGGGCTACTGCACTGGCCTCAGGTTTCCTCTTGGGATGTCACTCCAAGACAGAGAGGACCCGCCATCCCGCACACTCCTGTGGGTGGGCTGATGGTGGAGTCGGTGTCCCTGGCCCTTGTCCCCAGGGTCCCTTATTCCCGCCTTGTGGGCAGGTAGAAAATCCCTCCCAGACCCCTTGGTCCTCAGTGGTCCTGCTGCCTCTGTTTACCCTGTGAGCTGCTGTAACGCCGTGCTGTACCATGGCTTTGGGACTTCAGGGGCCTGGAGCCTCGAGCTCTTCTGATGTCCAGAGTGGAGGCTCAGAGACCTCCCAAGACACCTGGTCCTCTCTGGGCTGGTGGGAGGTGCTGGCCCATGGAGGTCCCAGGTCCTGTGGAACCAGGTACAGCAGGGCAGGCTCCAGACAGTCCCATCTGTCCCCTGCCATTCTGCTGGTGGAAGTCACCTGTGCCCTTACCCTGTGGGTGAGGAGCTCTGTGGACAGCTTGGGGAAGGAGCCCTTGCTCCACTCTGACCCCCTCAGACAGGGAGCCCCTCACTGCCCACCTTCAGCCCTGCATCCCCTCCCCTCCCCTCCTCCTGGCCTCACTGACCTCAGCTCCTTTCCAGGCCAGAAAGCACCAGTCTAATGCAGCCCTAGGGTGGCACCACCAGAACCTCTGTCCTGGGGATGTGGATGGAGACCCTCCTTCCAGCGAGCCTCACCCCCTTCCCCCGGGCCCTCCTTTCCCCACTTTTGAATAAACAGCTTCAGCAGTTCCCTGAGTCTGTCTGTGGGGTGCTTGGGCCCCCTAGGGGACATCTGAGCAAGCAGGGAGCTGAGGGCCCGGCCTTGTCGGGTCGCTTGTGGGTGTGTTGGCCCGGTGCATGAGGCCCAGTGCTGGGATGGCGGCTGGTAGCCCTGCGTGAGTCCTGTGGGTGCTTTCTGCAGGTGCCGCCCACCTGCAGGTGATGCCCAGTTCTAGGTGGAGGCATTGATGGATGGTGAGACGGTTGTGAGGGTGACAGGGCAGGGCTCCAGCCCGCAGGTGAGGACCAGGTGGAGGCTGAGGCAGGCAGGAGATAAGGGCAGCTGCCCTTTAGGGCTCTGGTAGGGGGGCGTCACCCTGCAGGGTTATGGAAGGACAGACTAGGAATCTCATCATCTGGAATCCACAGTGGCAGAGGCCCGTTGGAGTCCCCTCCAAGCCAGGTCACCTGCAGCACTTCTGTGGCTTTCCAATCACACCCTACAAGACTGCAGGATGGGGCTGGCGAGATGGCTCAGTGGTCTAAAGCACCTACTTGGAACAAGCTTGGCAAAGCACAGGGACCATGGTTCAATCCCCCAGCACCACATGCCAGCCAGCCCGCCCCCTGGTGGGCTGAGCTGGCCACACACACACACACACACACACACACAAAATAAATAAATAAATAAATAAATAAAATTAAAAAAAAAAAAAGACTGCAGGGTGTGGGTCATCTGGCCACGCCTCTCTCATAGCCCCGCCCCAAACTCCAGGACCTCTGGACCGCTCCCCCAGCAACCCCGCCCCCAAAGTCCCATCATCTGACCACGCCCCTCATAACCCCGCCCCCAAGGCCTCAGCGCAAACCCAGAAAGCGTGAAAGGCCAGGGGACCCTTGACCCATGGACAGCCGCAGGAGGGAGCCACTCCCCTGTGGCTGTGTTGACACTCAGGTTCTGTACACTTGCGGGTGGAAAGTCCGGGTTGTCTGTGTCTCCATCTCTTAGACTCTGGCTCCTGGCCAGCCTTGACCAAAGCCAGGGACTAGAGGAGGAGGTGTCACCCTAGCCCCAGGTTCTATCCCTGCAGCCCCTGTGTCCAGGTGACAGGCTCCAGAGTCATGACCCTTTGCACGATGTCTGCCAGATGCACGCAGCCAGGCAGCACCCCACAGGAGTGTGAGGCCAGTTCCAGGGATTGGCAGGGGTGGTCCCATGGGGACATGGCACCCTTTACTTGTCCCGGGGTAGCCTAGGTGGCCAGGGGACCAGCATGCTTCTTTCTGCCACCTCTCTGGCCACTGACCAGAAGGAACTGCAGCTCAGAAGACGCCTGTTTCCCCTCTTGACTCTAGCAGCTCTCTCCTCTTTGAGGAGCCTCAGGAACAGGGACGGGGACAAAGCAGAGATCAAGGAGAGACCTCGAGGCCTTTTGCCCCGAGGTCAGCATGTGTCCCCCACCCCAGCAACTGCAGGAAAGTCCCAGAAGTGAGGACTTGAGACCCCACACTTAACGCAGTCCCCACACCCTGTACCACCACGTGGAGAGCTGTGTTGTCACCTCTTGTCCTGGGACAGAGCACAAAAGCCCTGGGTACACAGAGCTGGGTCCTCTCCATCACCTCCTCAGGATGTGGGCCAAGGTTGGATCCCCACATGGACCCTGGTGCTCCTTCCCTACCACACGTGCTGTATGCTAATGCCCTGCACCCTTTCCCTGGGTTGAGCTGTTATCCTGAGTTGCAGGTGTGTCCCCAGGCATTGGCCTCTTCCAAAAGGGGTTCAGCCCAGGGCCCTATAGGGCCAGTGGCAAAGGAGGGCTCAGAGTCTGAAGCAATTCTGCTCTAGGCCACCCTATCCTGGGAGCCCTGGATGCCCAGGGATACTGTCTACCCATGACCACCCCACCCCCAGCCACAAGCACCCTTGGGTGGGGCCAGTGGCTGTCTCTCTCAGGCTCATGGGTTCTGTTGTCCCTGAGGCATATATGTCCCAGGTGGCGTGGGAGGAGGTAGCAGGCTGTGATAGGGGTGCAGAAAGAGCCCTCTCCAGGACACAGGAGGCCAGGGGTCAGGACAGGGTGCTGTTGGCCCTGTGCTCTGTTGGGGAGGCTCTGGGAGGGTCCCCTGGCAGCCTGACATGCCTCTGGGAAGAGATGGGGGGAGGCCCAGGAAATAGGGCAAAGCCACACATTCCAGCCTGGTGTGGTCCACAGCAGGCACATGGGCTGAGAAGAGGCAGGCTTTCCCCTGTGACCAGCACCTGGGGTGTACAGACCACATCCGGCCTGCCTTGGCCTGGCCCTGTCCTCATTCAGCAGCCCTCAGGAGGGGCCCTGGATTCCTAAAAACCCTGCTGGAGTGGAGGTTTAGAGGGGACGGCGTGGGCAGGAGGGTGGACCTTGGCCAGGTCCTAGGACCTTCCAAGTGGGAGCCCTTGGGTCTATGCTCCGCCAAGGGCACAGGGCATCGCTGCTGGGCCCCCCACAGGCGGCGGCTCTGGGGATCTGTGTTCAGCCAGAGGCAAGGAAGAGCGGGGCTCACAGGCGTGTGTCCTCACACTGGCCAGCATGACAGTTTTGAAAGGGTTCAAGGGCTGCTACACCTTCCTCCAAGTGGGGCAGATTGCAAGTGATGTCCCTGACAGCACGGAGTCCCTGAGGACTGTGCTCACGTGCGTGAGGGTGGGAGAGCCCTGCTGAGCCCACGCCCAGGACAACGCCGTCTGTCACCACCCCCAAAGTAGCCCACTGGTGTCCAGCCAAGGAAGGACAGTCTGGGAGCAAAACCTGACCAAGACCCCGAGGCTGAGGGAATTCTGCCGTTAGTCGGCCCTGGGCCTTCAGCCTGCTGGCTGACCTTGCAGGTGTTTGGACTTCCCAGGCTCCTGACAGTAAGAGTCAGTTCTTGAAACTAAATCTCTCAATCCTTCATTTCTATGTAAACCCATCCACCTACCACCTACCAAGTGCCGGTGGCCCATCTGTGCATCTGCCTGTCATAGACCCACTAAACCTGTCTTTCTCTCTATGTATAGTTTTTTGGGCCCATGTCTCTGGGCAACCCGAATAATGCAGTTTACACAAGGAAAGAGATTGTTTCAAATCTGGAATAATAGAGCTCTCAACAAAGAAAAGCCAGCACCAGTCGGTCACACAGGCGAACCTGTCCAAGTACTTGAAGTGGGCATAGCAATGACTCTTGGAGCTCTTGGGAAAGCACAAGTGGCCGTTTCCTCACTCCTGGGTGGGGCTGACACTGGGGCCGATCTCGCTGTGCGGCAGCACCAGCTGGCAGCTCGGGCTCGGGAGGGGTCACCAGGGCTGCCTCCAGGCCAGGAGCTGCTGCTGGGCCAGTTCTGCAGCTCTTGGTGGCTCTGGCTATCCTTTTTGTGTTCCAAGTATATCTTAATTATTTTTTTCTTTTTCTGGAACCGGGGATTGAACTCAGGACCCTGCGCTTGCCAGGCAAGCACTTACTCTACTGAGCCATCTCCCCAGTCCCTTTAGTGGCTCTGGACCCATTGTAGCGCCAGCTCTCCTCGCAGCAGCGAATCCGATACTAGATGCGGAGTCTGTGCTCCAGCCAGCGCTAGGCCTCCTGGTGGGGTGTGTGACAGCTGGGCTTGGTGGCAGGGGTGGCGCTGGCACAGGAGACCTGGTTGGCGCGGCTCTAGCGCTGGAGCCATCTCTGACTCTGGAGCCAGCAGAGCAGCTGGTGACAGTGCCAAGTCTGCACCTGGAGTCGGTGCCATAGTTTCTTCTGGATCAGTCCTGTTCTGGCTCGATGCAGGAACAGTTCTGGCCCGCAGCGGACATGGGCTACCCCGCCTCCAGCCTGGCCACCTCCCAAGAACTAAAGGATTTGTTTTTGTTTTTGTTTGGCGGTACCAAGACCTTGAGCTTGCCAGGCAGATGCTTATGCCACGGAGCTGTCTCCCTGGCCCAGGACTAAAGGATTTGGAATAGACAAAAAGCTCTGCCCACGAGGGTCGCCTGCGGGTCACCCCCAACTGCACAGGCGGCCCTCCGTGCTAACTGGGCAAACAGGCGTGCCACAGGCCACGCAGGAGTGGGTGCACTGTGTGGCTCCCGCTCTGCCAGGGCGAGGCAGGAAGGTGCCCAGGTGGCTAAGAAACCTGCAGAACCTGCGTAAAAGAGAAGGCAAGCACGGCGGTCCCGGGTACGGGAAACGCCGGTTGCCCGCAGGTGGCTCGGGGTGGCGGCCTGGGCCAAGGCCCTGCGCGCCTGGAGCAGGGCAGGGAGGCGTGAATGTCGGGGAGGGGTGCACTGCGGGACGCGGGACCCTGGGTGCGTTCCGCGGCGCCCCTGAGACAGCCGGGCTGCGAGCCGAGGCGTCTCAGCGGTGCACCGGGAGCCGCGCGCCGGCCGCTGGAGGGCGCTGCGGCGGCGGGGTGTGTCCCTCGCGGGCCGCCGTCCGCGCTGGTATAAAGCACGCGGCGCGGGCTCGCGCGGCCTCTCGGCAGCCATGGAGGGCGGGCGTCGCGTGGGGGCTCGGCGGCCAGCGTGTCCCGGGGCGAGGCGAGGCCGCGCGTGTCCGAGGAGGTGGGCCCGGGACGTGGACGGGAGGGGTGAACTGACCTTTTCCTTGGAAGGCAGCTGCCATTTTTATTTGTGCAATAGGGTTTTTTTTTTTTAATATACTTGGTACAGAGTCTGCGCAGCTCGGACTCGTAGCGATCCTCCTGTTTTCAGCCTCCCCAGCGTTGGGATTACAGGCGTGCGCCGCTGCGCCCCCACGGCGGCCAGCTCGGCGCTCCGGGGCTGGGGGCCGGGGATTGAACCCCCAGATGCGTTAGGTGCAGGGGAGGCAGGAAGACGGGTGGCGGCGCACGCCTGCAGTGCCAGCACCCGCAAGGCTGAGACGGGCGGATCGCCACGAGTTCAGACCGGCCTTCCCTCCGCAGCGTGGCCTGCGTGAAGAGAACGAAAAAGCGGGTGGAGTTGGGCCTCTGGGTAGCCCGGGCCGTGGGCCGCGCGGGAGGGTGCGCGCCGGGAGGGAGGGTGGTCTTGGATGCGGGTACGGGTCAGGCGTCACCCCAGCCTCAGGCGGAAAGGGTGGGCTGCCGGAAGACCAGCCTGCGGGGCTCGCTATTTCAGGAATGCAGGTGATGTGGCCTGCATTTCTCCGCACGGAACCAACTTTAGGCCAAAGGCCTATTTGGGCTGGGGTGTTTCACTCGTCCCTGGGGCCGTGGTTCTAGGCAGCGCCGTGTGGTGCTGTCCTCTGAGGTCTGTGCGAAGCATGTTCTTTCCTGCCCTAGGGAGTTTGCCTGCTGGAGACGACTCCTGTAAGGAGGTGCTGGAGTGCGCCCGAGTTGGCAGGTTGGTGCTGGAGCAGGTCCCTACACACCGACGCTCCCGTGGCGGCCTGCACCCCGGGTCCTCAGCCTGCAGACACTGCCCCTCGAGGCGTTGCAGGCCTGGCTGCTGTGTTACGCCTGCGTCACTGGGCGGCAGAGAGAATGAGGCTATGTCTACGCTCAGCGTTCCGACCCGTGAACGCCTGAATGATTAGTAGCCTGACACTGGCGTGCCCGTTTGGGGTGGTGTGTGCTTACCAGCTACCGGGGGCCTGGCGGGGGAGGCCACCCTCCTGATACCCTCAGCCACCTGAGGTTCTTGGTGCTTTCAAAGCAGGAAATGGAGGTGGTCCACTGCCTGCATGGAGGTGCTTTGTAGGCTGCCTCCTTGAAAACCAAAGGAGGCAAGTGGCCCTTTGGTTTGTTGTGAGACAGGGTCTCACTGTGTAGTCCAGACTGCCCTTAAGCTCATGGCAGTACTGCCTCAGCCTCCCAAGGGCTGGGGGTACAGGCCTGCACCAGCATGCCTGGTTTGTGCTGACAGTTGTACCAGCTTCCAAGGTGCCAGGATGTGAGGAAGCAGCTTTTTTAAAACGCAGATTCTTATTCCCAATGCTGCTGGCCGAGGCAGAAGGATCACGAGTCCAAGCCCAGCCTGGGATACTTAGATCTTGTCTCCGATTTTAAAATAGCACTGGGGGTATAGTATATGTCAGTGTTAGGGCCCGGGGCCACTCCTTGTGCCTTGAGAAAGGAAATCCCAGAGATCTTGCTGTGTCCCCTTCTCCCTCACTGAGGACCACCTATCACTGGTAGCCCTGGGAGAAGGTAGACGTGAGGGTACAGAACGATTGAGTGTGGTGCGTCATTTGTGCTGTCCTCTGGCAGCAGGGAGGGTTCCTTACCCGCATTCGGTGCAGCTTGCGACACGAGTTCCATCGAGACAGCGGTCTGCACCTTGTCCTCCTGTGCAGCCCCCTTGTGCGGGCGCTCCCCCGGGTTTGCATGCTGGAGTGCGAGAGCGCTGGCTCAGCTGCTGGCCCTCCTGTAAGGGAGGAGGTGAAGCTCGATCCAGTGCGCTTGTATAGGAAGACCGCGCGTGAGGTTTGACTCTGTCCCGTTTCAGCCACTGTTACACTTTATTTTTTGGTGTTCAATGCAGGAAGGACGGTGACCCGAGCCTGCTTGCTGTGGTGCCCAGCTGGCAGAACCAGCCATGAGCTGCACCCGAGTCAAGGTTAGGAGAGACCCAAGCCAGACCTGGGTGGGGTGCTGGCTGCAGGGGTGCTGACTGCCCTGCAGATGGGGTCCTGGCCTCCAGCACCATGGGCACAGCCACTCCTCTGTTCCTGTGACTTCGGGGCAAAGAGCAACTGGCTATTTCTACGCTCAGTGTTCAGAGACCAGTGAGCACTAAGAATGGTTTATAGCCTGACACTGCAGAACAGCAGCGGGGGCTGTGGGCTCAGGGCAACTGCTGTGGCCACTTTCCGGACAGCCAATGGGGCAGCCAGGCCCTCGTGCCTAGACTTCTTCATGAAAGTGGGCATCCTGGGGGGACAACCACCGCGCCAGTGGACACCACCTGTGTTCTGCCCAGTGTCCTCACTCCAGGCAGGGAGCCGCCTCTGGTCTATCTGGGCCTGGGGAGGACAGCAGAGGTACCCACTGGCTTTGTCCTATGGGTGAGGCCAAGATTGGGGCGCTCGTGGGTTCTCCAAAGCTGCAGTCCAGCCTTGGCTCCCGTGATTCACTGTCCCTCTTGGAGGTGGAGGCCAGGGCTGCTGCTCCCTGACCTGGGAGGGCCAGAAGTCAATGGTGCCGCGCCTTGCTGGGTCTAGCTCTGCAGTTGAGGTGCTTGGACTGGCTCCCTGGCTTCCTGTGGAGAGCCCAGGTGAGCACAGCAGTGACCACCTCCCCACCCACCCCCGTCTGACCCCTCCCCTCTGCCTCTTCCAGATCTGTGAAGGATGGGGTCTGGCGCCAGCCCTTTGGCCTTGCAGGCAGGCACAGGTGCAGCTCCTGGACCATGGACCCCCATGCAAGTGGCCCCTGCAGCGTGTCACTGGGTAGAGGACCCCGAGGACACTGCGCATCTGGCTGGGCCTTGGCCAGTGCTCTGCTGTGCAGCTCCCTGCAGGGCAGGCTGGGGACGCGGGGACAGGACTGAAGTCTCCATTCTCTTGGCTGTGTCTTTGCTGACTGACAGGAAAATACAGCAGGGCTCGGGGAGCAGCTGGACGCGCAAAGTACACTCAACGCAGGACTAAGCCAGCCCGAGAACGTGGGCGCTCCTCGAGCCTGCTGTTGCGGCTTCACTGACTGCTGAGTGGAGAGGCTGAGCTTAGTAACCTCGAGGGCACCAACTGCTTGGGGTAGTTCCTCCCAAGAAACAGGAGCTCCACCCGACCCAGCTTTTTGTCTCTTCCTCCTCCTCCCGGGGTACAGCGAGAGCTCCATAGAGCTCTACACAGGAAAACCCAACCTTTGAGTAGAAGGCCAAGTTTTCCTCAGCACTGACAAGGGGCAAGTTGTGGTTGGAACCTAAGAATTTAAACTGGAATGGCTGGGGGTTTTACACACAAAAAAAGCAAAGTGAACTAAATAAAAGGTGTGTTGGTGTGCTTACTTGGGAGCGTCACCACTACAGTGGAAAGCCCAACAAGAGACCTGCATGGGGAGCAAGGCCTGAGGCAGGGGGACCTTCCTGTCATGGAGGAGAGGCGGACCCCTGGCCAGTGGGAATTCCCACTCATGTGGCTATTCCACAAAAACCAGTATGCAGGCAACAGTCCGAAAGTGGTGGCTCTGTAAACTGGCCCTCAGCTCACACTAACCCAGGCAGCCCTCCCTCAGCCTCCCAGGTGCTGGATTATAGGTGTGTGGCACTGTTGGAATAAAGTGGTACTTAGCACTAGCACCCTTCTTGCAGTTCGACACCACGTCTTAGGTCAGACTGGCTTTGAGCCTATGGTGACCTTCCTGCCTCACCCTCCCAAGTGCTGGGATCACAGGTTTGTACCCCCACCCCCAGCAAATCCTCTCTGTGCCAGACTTGTGGTACCACAGATAGAACTTGGTGCTTACGCTTGCCAAGTAGGCACTTAGGCGCTGTGCTATATCCCTGGCCCTGGCAGACATTTTAAACAAAACCTGCTGACAGCCTCTTCAAAGCCGAGAGGAACCCAGGCGTAACTCATAGTAGAGCACCCACCCAGCACAAGGAAACGAGCCTGGCACACCTGCAATCTCACCACTGGGAAGCTGAGGTAGGATGGAAAGATTGAGCCCAGCCTAGAAGTTGAGTGACTTGGTAAGGGCCTGTCTCAAAAATTAAAAGCTAGGGAGGTGTGTGTCAGGGTGAGGGCCCTGGCCGGCCAACTGATTGCTCCCAGGCACAGTTTGCAGGTTTCAGCTCGGACACCACAGCGTTTAACCCTTGGTGTCAAGATGACAAGGGGGGGCTGTGCAGTGGGTGGCAGCACAGTCCCCAGGCATCACACAAAAGCCATTTATTTACATTGCTCTTCAGAGGGCCCGTCCTGCCAGTGGCTGGCACTGGCTCCTCAGGAGTACTTGGTGTTGGAGATCTCCTTCCAGAGCAGCGTCTTGAGGTGGCTGAGCACCAGCGAGTGGTGGGCCTCCACCTGGCTAGCCAGCCCGCTCAGCGTGGTGCAGGTGCGCAGCTGCTTGCCCAGCTCCTCGCGCAGGTCAGCGGGCGCGCCGGGCAGCAGGTAGTCCTGCAGCAGCTCACACACCTTGGCCAGGTTGGGCTGGATGAGGTCACCCTTGCACTGCCGCATAAGCCGGTCGCAGGGCGCCCTGCAGTCACGCCCGTAGGTGCAGTCGGCACTGTGCTCGCAGCGGCGGCCCTGCAGGAAGCGGCGCACCGTGGCCTCAGGTGCCACCTGCTGCAGGTCTGCCATCTTGAAATCATAGGTGGCCGTGTGGCCCACGTTGGCCAACGTGGTCTCGCACATGTAGAAGGTCCCGTAGGATCCGTGGAAGAGCTCCTCCACGAACTCCAGCAGGCCAATGGCAATCTTGGCCCGCCAGGGCCACGCAGGCCCAAACCACTGCTGCAGAGCACTGTGCAGCGCAGGTGGCAGCAGCGGGCGCAGCAGCGGGGGCAGCGTGGCTCCGGGCCAGGAGCCATGGGGAATGCCCTCGGTGAGGTAGAGGTCCCCGCAGCAGCCCAGCAGCCGCGAGGCATGCTCCTTCTCCTGCAGGGACAGCAGCAGCAGGAACTCGTTGCGCTGCAGCAGGGCCCACACGGACTTGGCCTCTGCCAGGGACACTCGGCTGTCCTTGTTGAAGTCGGCCATGAGCAGGACCTGGCCGACCAGCGCCGGCAGGGAGGGCAGGTCTCCCAGGTTTGTCTGGTGTAGGGACCAGAGGGGAGGAAGGCCAAGTCCTGGGGAGGCCAGGAGCTCCACTCCACCCGCAGAGCACAGGACCTGCCCACCCCTCTGGCTCTCCAGGGCCAGCAGAACCGTGCAGCAGCAGGCCAGGACCTCTGCTGTTCAGGTCCCAGCCCACCTGGCACAGCTCCCGCATGCCAGCTCGTCCTGGGAGTGCATGAGGGCCACACGCCCTGGTGCTGGCTGGAGGCCCAGGTGGCAAGGCCACCCCCAAGGCACCCAGGCTGTGCCCACTCACCCACCCCACGGCCCTGGAAAGTTCCCTTTCCTGCTGCCTTTGCCTTCAGGGCCCCCTCTGGCCCCCCAGGCCTGGGCAGCAAGCTACCTTGAGGAAGCTCAGGGTCATCTCTCGGAACTCCTTGATGGACGTGCCCCGCGTGGGCTTGTCGAACAGCACAAGCTCCGGCCGGGGCACCGCCTCTGGCTGGGCCTTAGCATGCAGGGCCTCCTCGATGCTGCACTTGATGGTCACCTCCTTGTCCTGCCACAGTCCACTGTATACCTGGCCGGGGCCACGGGACCCTCTGTGTGGATGCCTGCCTCCTGCAGCGGGCACAGCCACGCCAGCAGCCTAGGCTCAGCCAGCCTTGTCTACATACCTGCTGGCTCGGGGCTGGGGACAGGCAGGTCCGCCACTCCACCGTGTGCAGCTCACACAGATCCCGGCAGATGGAGCCCGAGATGATGCCTTTGCGATACTGGTCACACTGGAGACACGGGGGCCGGGATGTGGCAGGGGTGTGGACGGGTGGCCACAACCCCAGCTTCATGGACGTCCTCAGTCCAAGGCCCAGAAGGGGCCCCCAGGAGGAGGTGTGTCACAGAGCAATGAGGCCACTAGAGTGGGCTCCGAGGGCGCCTGGGCCCAAAGCCCCTACCACACCAGCCAGTTGAGCGCAGGCCCTGGTGGAGGCCACAGCACTGCTCTCTGCCTTGCTGTGGCAGTTCCCACTGCCTCACGTGGCCTAGCACCCTGCCCTGGCCACCCCGCCTGCCACCCTAGCCTCTGTGACAGCAGGTCCCTGGCACAGCTCTAGGGAACTGAGTCCTCTCTGTGCAATGGACAAAGACGAGGCTCAGAAATACTGGGGCAGCCCAGGTCAAGTCCCCAGGGCAGGCAACCAGACAAGCGTCGGACAAGCCACATGGGCTCCACTAGCGTAAACCAATTCCTGTTACCTGTCCAAGGTCCTTGGGAGCACCCAGGCTGGCTCCTGGGTCCCCTGGGCTGTTGGGGGCCCTCGAAACTGCTCCACCTGAGCAGTGTCCTTTCCCCTGGCCTGGACATTTCTCCTGCCCCAGCCTACAAGGAGACCTCGCCCTGATGCCCCAAATCAAGAACAGGACAAGCCAGACCTCACAGCTGCGCCCCAGAGCTGAGCTGCTGGTCACTGTCAGCCCTAAAACAGCACGTGGGAATGAGCAGTGACCACTCCCTGCCTGTCCCTCCTGCCAGGCCTCCCCCAGGCCACCTCGTTAGCCAGAGGGCCAGGGAACTACATCCAGCAGTAGTCAAATCAGCCCAGCCCACCCTGATGTGCCCTGGAGGTGTGTCTGGGGTGCAGGTGTGTTCCTGGACCCATATCTCGGTTACCATGGAGCCCAGCAGCAGTGGAGCTGGTGGAGGGGGGAAGGGCAGAAGGCAGCAGAGCCAACCAGATGCACTGTGCCCGGCCACGTGAGCCCCAAGGGCAGTGTCTGTCCTGTGGCAGCTTGAATGATGGCTCCTCGTCCCAATTGGAAAAAGAACAGGCAAAGGCAAAGCATACTGTGGGGGTGGTTCCGCCACCTCCACAGGGGGTCCGCTCTGACCCCAGATGGGCACTAGTGACAGCTGCCCGTCCAAGGGGCTGTGGGTGCCTGAGAGGAGGCGCTGCTGGTGGCCACAGCAGCTTGCAGGGAGGCAGCGCTTCTGGGGCTGGGTCCTGGTGGACACCACCCGCTGTCCCCACCCCCCAACCCCTTCTCCAGGCCCGGGAGGAGCTGGCACAGACACTGAGTGGCAGCATGTTCAGCCCTCTCCGGATGCCCACTGCCCATCAGGTCCCCTCACTTCAGACTCAGTTTCCCTCTCTGCAGAATGGGCCAGAGTATGCAGTACCCAGCCCAAACGCCAATCACACAGGGACTGCGTGACCCCGGCACTGGCAGGTGATGCAGGGCCTCCTCTGGGAGGCGGGCCACGTCTCCAGCGCCCCAAGACAGCTTCACCTCTGGAACAGCGCCCTTGTCACAGGGCACCCTGAGGAGCGGGGAGTGACCTCAGAATGCGCCTGTGAGTGACGACCTGCTCACGTGCACCCCGACACCCATGAGCCGGCATTCCCAGGGCCTGCATGCTTGTTCTGACTTACACATCCTCCCAGGACAGTGGCATCGCTGGCAGGTCCCAGGAAATGGTGTGGGGAACCCACCCTGCAGCCTGCTTCCCTGGACCCAGAGGGAACAGGGACTCTCTCCAGGCTGGGGGAGACGCTTGCCCCCAGCCTCTGGAGCCCCTTCATCCATGCCTTCCCCTGCACCCTAGGCCGCCTCCAGCCCAAGGCACCATGTCTCCCACCAGCCCTTGCGGGGCCCCGCACTTACGATGACCACCTGACAGACATGGCCACGGCAGAGCTCCGAGTAGGACGAGTAGCGCACATACACCAGCCAGCTGCCCGCAAAGACGCCCAACCAGACCAGCGCCACGTACCTGACCCTGAGGCCCGGGAACCGGCCCTGAAGGGAGGAGCCTGTGAGGGTGCCTGCCCTGCACCAGAGTCCCCGTTGGCATGCTGCGGCCCTTTCCCAGCTTCCAGGCCCACTTCTAGGCCCACTGCCGGGCTGGCCAGCACCTTCTTGCAGCCCCCAAACCTCCCAGGGCTTGCCTTGCGGGGGGCAGCTAAAACCAGGTCAATGTGGGGGGCTGAGATAGCTTTCCTTTCCCAAACTTGTGTTCGCCCCATTCCCCAGCACTGCCCTGACAGGAGGCCAGGTGAGCTGCCAGGAGGGGAGCCGTGGCCTCCTCTTTCCTTGCCATGAGCTGAGACCCCAGGGCTTCCCCATCACACCCCGGAAGGCATCCGCAGCCTTGTGCATCACAGCCACAGCCATGGGTGACACACTCATGTACCCGTGGATAGGTGCTGAACCCTAGACGTCCACCCACACCATGGGTGTTACCAGCCTTAGCCAGGAAGCACCTCAGGACATGCCAGCAGGAAGGAGCCCGTCACTATGTGAGACCCCTGGGGTGGGCCTGTCATCTGCAGCCCCTCTGCTTCAGTTTCCCCAGTTGGCAGGTGGGTTCCAGAACTCCTGAATCCCAGCAGGGTCTCTGAGGGTGATGGCCAGGGACCCCATACCCTTGTACTGCAGCCTGTGGGAGAGGCTCGGACACTGTGAACCAGGACAGAGGGACAAGGAATGGCTCAGAGCCTGGCCAAGGAGTGTAGAAGCAGGCTGGAGGGTAGCTAGCCCCAGAAGACACTGCCTGTGGCCTGTAGCTGCTTGTCCCCAGCACAGGCAACTAGACATGCGACAGACAAGCCACACGGGCTCTGCTAGTGTAAACCATTTCCTGTTACCTGTCCAAGGTCCTTGGGACCCTGAAAAGGGACAGGCCAGGCTTCCCTCTGGGACCTCCCTGCTGGTCAAGCTTTCTCTGCCCTGGTTACCAGCTCCTCCCTGAAATGAGGCCACTGTCTGTCTCCTCGGGGACCAGGCCCAGCCCACTCAGTGGGGCACCCCCACCCAGCTCCCTGACTGCAGGGCACCGGGAAGCCACCCCAGGAGGAGCTATGCTGGCGGTTCCAAGTCCCAGCCAGAGAGAAGCAGGACTCAAGGTCCTGGGTCCAGATCAGGGCCCTACACTAATGCGTTTCCGTCAGATTTGACCATAATGAAAAACAGGAAAACGGCGACAGCGGGGGTGGGATGCTGCCAGGGCAGGGCAAGGTCAGGACTTCTGGCTGGGGGCCAGCAGGCAAGGGTGGGGTTGGGCTAGTGCTGGACCACGGGCCCACTCCTTTCCCAGCGCTCCTCGATGGGCCGCTAGGCCCTGGCACAGGTGGCTCTGGCCAGACTCTAGGTCTCCCTCCACCCCGGGGCATCCCTGAACCCTGGTGGGTGCCACTGTAAGGGGTCCCCAGCGGCTGTGTGGGGGCAGATGGCAAGCTCGGCTCTGCAGGATGTCCCTTACGCTGTGGAGCAGCACAGTGACCCCTGCCCAGGAAGCCAGCCTTGCCAGGAGGCATCCTGCCCCCACTGCAGAAAGCGCTGAAGGGCAGGAGCTGGGGCCGGGTACGGCCGCACCCCGCCCACCAGCTGGAGGGCACGCTGTCGCCCCTCCGCCCGCCGGGAAAGCATCCTTCCCGGCGAGCGAGCCTCCTCAGCGGCCCCCTCCCGGCCTGGCGACGCATCCTCGGCCCGGGCTCCCCGCGAGCCGGCGCCCAGCACGGTCTCTGCGGCCGGAGCTCCGCTCAGCGCCCCCTTCCCGGAGCGAGGCTGAGGCAGGCCGGGCACCAGCGCCTGCCCCGAGCGCTGGAGGACGGTGCGCACCCCGCAGCCGCGGGGGCCGCCAGGGACGGTGACTGCAAGGTCGCGGGGGTCGGGGTCCGGCTGGCGACATCCTCCCCGGAGACCCCGAGACCCCGGCCGCGGCGGCGGCGGCGACTGAGCCCGGGCCCCGCCCGCTCGCCCACGCCTACCTGCGGGCCCTTGGCGAAGGCGCACAGCAGCACCAGGGGCGCCAGGCGCCG